GTTCCTCTTGCTGAATTTTTCTATCTTCTTTCCCACATTTCTACCACTGAAATCCTTAGCAGACCATTGGTTTTAGTCATGTGGAAAGCATAATTTGAGGACCCTAGTGTCCACTATCTGTTTAGAGAATCATATTTTAATAATTCATTACAAAGACATGTGACTTACCACTTTGTGTTTTAAGTAAGGTGGTAATTTTAAATAATATGCCTGCCATGCCCTTACTGTGTTGTGCACTTTGAGAGCGAACAGACAGTGTTAAGATATAAGGAGCTTATGGACTTCTTTGGGAACCAGGGATAGATGAGGGCTAAACTATGAGAGTGTACTTCCACATCACCTTAATAAGTTCAGGGGACAGTTGTGAAAGAAAGGCATTTCAGTGTTGATTAAGTAAACTAAAGAATTAGAGACCACAGTTCTCATCCGACCACCTCACATGACCCTAGATTTATAGCATGAACCTAGACAAAGCCTATCAGGATTCTGTTTTCCAATATGAATAATAATGAAGTAAGTAGTGGTTTTCCCCATGAAATAGTTGTATGAAACCTAGAAGCAGCATGTCAAGGCATTCTTAGTGATTTTTAAACAATTTTGAGATATTTTAAAAATACAGAAAAATAAAAAACAATAATTTTTGACTGCTCTGAAAAGTTCAAGATTCTGTCACTCAGATATGACAGTTAACACTTTACTTCAATAATTTTTGTTAATAAAATAAATTAAATGAAACAAGTTTAAAAAAGTTGTTCAGCTCCTTTGTATCCCATCTCAGATTTTACTAACATGAATTTAGAGTAATATTTTCTGTCTTTTTAAACACTTTTAGTTACAAATATGTAATGATAAATAATATGTGATATTTGTTTTGTGTGTTTTTTAAAATTTCCTAAGGAGCAAACTATATAAAAAACTTACCCAAAACATTCTTTAATGTATAAAAGTAATGGGTTTAGCTTCTCAATCTCCACCCATAAGTTATTTAATTAAAGTTAGGATATAGTTTTAGAGTGATAATGGGGGGTTAGGACAGAATAGGTTACAAGTTAGGAAATACTAATGTGAAATTTAGAGAGTTCTTTCTGAAAACTGAGTACTAGAAAAAGGCTCATGTAGCATTAGTCTCTAGTGTTTTTAGTTCTGAGATTACAGATGACCTGCAAATAGTGCTTATGTAAAAATAAATGGTTAAATTTGTATATTAATATTCAGTGTGAAGCTATTTATACATATATCTCTATATTATAGTTAAATGTGTGTGTGTGTGTGTATAGCTATATATATATATTGATATATATATATAGCTAAATTTAGACTGTTAGGCTAAGTTTATACATTTACAGTCATGTAAGCATAGTAAACAATATTTCCTAGTTATTTATCTTTGCTTTTTTGGAAAAAAACAATAATTTTTTTATGAATGTAAAGTGGTATTACTTTTTTATTTGATTCAGTAAAACCCTGCTTTTCTTTCAAGCATTTACCCCACTGTTTTATAATTGTGTCTTTAACTGTGTCTGTCAAATTTCCAGATTTTTTTGCAATTCTGTTTTATACTGAATTTCCTTGTTAAATGTTTAGATAGAGAATGAATTCTTGGTTGGTGTGGGAAAATGTCTTACCTGGGAGGTAAGTAGTATCAAGGGAATAGGGAAATAAACCTCATTGGTTCAATGAAAAAGCTTTCCACCAATTGTATGCCAGACATTGAGGAACAGAGATAAGCAAGCCATGAATTATAAACTAGAAATAAATTAGAAGTAATACAGTAAACATGTGATGTTGTGGAAACTTCAAAGAAGGCTACTTTAATCCTCAGTATTAAATCATAGAAAAGCTTCTCAAAAGAGATGACACTTCTTGAGATTTTGAAGGATGAATAGGAGCTAGCCAGACCAACAAGACAAGACTAGCACTGAAGGAAATAAAAACAGCACATACAAAAGTAAAGGGCACTGCTTTGTAATGAGTTTTGGATACCTTTTGAATCAATCACACTGACTATAATTTACATCAATTTTTTACCAGAGTTGTGAGAGTAAGAAATTTAGTATTCCAGTGATTAGAATTTTAGAACACAACTGACCACTTGATGATATTTTGAAATACTGTATTCTCTCATTGGGGTTGCTTATTTGTTTATAGGGAAAACCTATTGAAATTTTCTTGTGGATTATGAGAGGGGCAGTGTCCTCAGAGATCATCTGAGTTCATATTTTTATTCAACAATAATATTTAACATGTACTATCACAGGGGGTGCAGAGATGAAAATGAAAAGATGAACCTTGCCTTCAAGTAGTTAAAGCAGGAAAGAAGAGACAAACATATAAACAGACAATTACATGAGTGTGAGGATGTGCTATAATAAGAGTTGAGTACTGGTAAAGTACAGAGGAAGGCTCATTCATTTTTCTTGTGGGTTAGCTTGATAGACTTTTAATTAGATCTGGAAAAATGAATGACAGATACTTCATCCATAAAAGGAAGGGAAAGATATTTCATGTGAGGACTGCAACCTCTACAAAGTCATAGAGAGTGTGACATGTTCATGGAGCAACAGGTAATTCTGCATGGCTAGCACATAGCAAAGAGCTCTGGTAGCATAGTGCCTAAGGCATTTGACTGCTAACCAGAAGGCTGGCAGTTCAAACCCACCAGCCACTCCTCGGAAGGAAAGTAGGGCAGTCTACTTCTATAGTGATACCGCCTCAGAAACCCAAGGAGGGGTCACTATGAGTGGGATCCGACTCAATGGCAGTGAGTTTGGTTTGTTTTGGTTTAGCATATAGCAAGTAGGTGGAAACTACTTGACTACTTGAGATGAGACTGAAATGGTCACTGGATCCAGTTTGTGAGGTGCTCTGTAAGCTATACTAAAGAATTTGGACTGTCTAATCGAAACAGTGAGAACAATGGAAGGAAAATAACATTAGATTTATTTTTCAGGAACCTTGCTTTTGTGGTAATATAGAGAGAGCATTGAAGGGAGTAGGAAGTTATCCCCCAACACACACACACATACACACACTGCAAGAAGACCCATTGGGGAGTGCTTTTCTTGTGTTGATGAGAGATGTTAAAGTCTTCAACTTTGCAAGGTCAGTGGGGATAAAGGGAGGATATAGATTTGAGAAAGTCTTAGGAAAAAGAATCAACAAACTCACTTGGTAACCAATTGGATGAAGGGGAAAAGGAGAAGCTGAGAGTATAACAACATTACTAGTTGGGAGCCTGTCCAGATTAAAAATGTATTAGTTGAGAAAAGAAATCTAGAAGAGACAATTTTGTTTTCTGTTTCCTACCTGATTTGAAATCAGAATTTTACTACAGAGCCAACTATTAGTAGTCTTGCTACCATGAGGAAAGTATAGGTTTTACTAATAGTGTGATTTATTTATTTGCATACTTTCTAGCAAAACTTTCTCTGTAGACAGCTGAGGTATTTTGTGGAAGGTTTGGTCAAAGAAATAGGCTAGAGTGATTTTTATCCAGCCAGTGCACATGAAATAGGTAAGTTACCAATATAAAGTGGTCATAGACAGTCTTCTCAGTACAGCAGAAAATGCCAGAGGAACATTTTTGTGGCTAGAGAAAACCACTTATAGTTGAGAGATGTTCACAGGAGATCTGTCCCATTGATGGCTGGATAATAACAACAGGTCATTACCCTGTGGTCAGGGCTGAATATTTGTTTATTCAACAAGCAGTGTATTTGCTGAGACCCTCTTATACTCCAAGTATTCTTCTAGGCAATGAGAAGATTGAGGGGGGAAAGGGAGGGATATTAAGTTAAATATATAGACTATTAGGTGGCAATATATGATGGAAAAAGAAAGGCAAGGAAGGCAATTAAGAGTTTATGTTGTACGTGTGTAGAAGGGATGTAATTTGGCAAAAGTAAGTGCTGTGTACAGTAGAACAGCATACAATATTTCTGCTTAAGTCTACTTAAGTCTTCCAGTCTCAGTTCTTTAAACAAAAGAATTATCAAAAATCCTGAAGCAATATCACGAACCTGTTAAAAATCAAAATACCAATCCACTGCCATGAAGTCGATTCTGACTCATAGCAACCTTATAGGACAGGATTGAATTGCCCTATAGGGTTTTCAAGACTGTAAATCTTTATGGAAGCAGACTGCAACATACTGGCCTTTTGGTTAGCAACCAAGTGCTTTAACCACTCCACCACCAGAGCTCCCTCTGAATTTTCTTAGTTGTATATTAATAATATAATTTAGCCTAAACTAGTTGTTCTCAGAGTGTGGTGCTAGGAACAGCAGCATCAATATCTAGAAACTTAGAAATGTAAATTACTGGGCCACAACCCAGTCCTACTAAATAAGAAACTCTGGGAGTGGGGCTCAATAATCAGTGCATTTACAAGCACATAAGGCATTTGGTTGCTAACCAGAAGGTTAGTAGTTCAAACCCACCAACTGCTCTGTGGGAGGAAAATGAGGCAATCTACTTCCTTAAAGATTTATAGCCTTGGAAACCCAATGGGGGTTGCTGTGAATTGACTCAATGGCAGTGGAGTTGTTGTTGTTGTTGTTTTACAAGCCCTTCAGGGGACTTTGATGCATACTCAAGTTTGAAAACCATTGACCTAACAGTAGTAGTTCATGGTATAGCTGACAGTTTCTGGGCTTTGAGGACACAGAGACCTGGATTTGAATCTCACTTCTCCCACTACTTACTTATGTCAGTGTGTCACCTAATTTCCATGAGACTTGGGTTTTTCTTCTATAAAGTGATGATGATAAAACTTCTTTTCCAGGGTTGTTGTGAGGATTGATTAATATAATGTAAGTAATGTGTCTGACACTGTAACAGGCAAATTGTAGGTTTTCAATAAATAGTAACTGCTACTATAGTTAATGTGTTTGGTTTTTGTTTGATTGGTTTTAGGTCCCCCCCACACACACACACACACACACACTGGAATTATTGTTTTCACTTATTGAGTAAAAATCTGCTCATTTTTTTGCCTTTAGATTCAAATACTCAAGAAATTAAGGACATCTATGGACTCCATGGTCAAATAAAACACAAACAAGCTTTCCTGAGAAGTCATGTGCCAAAGCAAATGAAACTTGTGTTCATTGGCCATTCAATCGGCTGCTATATTTCCCTTCAGATGTTGAAATGTGCTCCTGAGCTTCCAGTAAGTATCCCTTAGGAGATGGTGTAGGTGCTTGCTTGTACATTTACATAAATTCTCCTCAGTTTTCCTTCTTTATTTCACCAGCTCCATCTAATAGCTCTTGTTTAACTGATGAAGAGAAAGGAATGCTTGGTAGTTGCCTTGTTTCCATATTGTTGTAGGCTTGTGTGAGTGTATGTTCATGTAGTGAATGCTTCTAAATCTAGCATTATGTGGACTTCTTATGTGATAAACATAACTTGCTATCTTTTATGGAGGAATATTTAGGAGCATTTACCAGCTTAAATCAAGACAAGAGTCTGTCTTTATTGGGAATGTATTTTGCAAATGTTAATGCTTCCTTTCAGAAGGAAAAGAATTTATCATGAACATTATTATCATCATCATCACTGATAAACAGGTGTCCCTATGGAACCTCAGGGCTTTATTTAGCAATAAACTTAAACTTATATTATGTAGCCTGGCAGCCTTTTTGAAACACACATTCATTTAGTCATTAACTATGCATTGGCTGCCACTAAATGCCAGATATTAAGGGAGGCACGGGAGACCCAAAGATGTATTTAAATTGCTTAGAAAAGCTAATGCACTACCAGATACCAGAGGCTTCAAAAAACAAAACTCATATTAACATATACCTTTGAAATGAGCCATTGAATCAGTGCCACTCACAAGGTTATTTTATTTTATTTTATTTTTATTGTGCTTTGGGTGCAAATTTACAAAGCAGTTTATTTTACATTCAACAGTTCATGAACATTTGATTTCACGGCCCGATTACAATCCCCAATCATAAAAACCTCTTCTCCCCTCTCCTCTCTGTGACTACCCCCTCCCTGTGCCCTTATCTATGCACTTTTGTCTGTCCAGCTTTCCCTCTATGTGAATACTGCCCCTCTGATGTCTCATGGCTTATTAATCCCTAGGATAGGTGAGTGTATTTTCCTGGGGTAGGTTTTCTGCATGTAGGTCTTTCTGCTGTTGGGCTGAGAGCCAATATGTGGAAGTGAGTCCATTTCTAGGCCAGAAGGATAACTGGGGCCATAGTCTCAGGGGTTCCATCATCCCTATCCAACCAGTAATCCAAGGTAATTTTATTCAGCAAACATATATTTACCACTTGTCATTTATCAGGCACTGTGCTGTGTGCTGAGAAGTCTCAGTGAGTAAGTTGGTTTTGAGGCAACAGAGACTAAAGTCTAATGGAGGAGACAGACTAGCCAACAGATATGATAACTGCTACATACTTATTTGGGAGCTTTGGTAGTGTAGTGCCTAAGGCATTTGACTGCTAACCAGAAGGCTGGCAGTTCAAACCCACCAGCCACTCCTCAGAAGGAAGGTTGGATACTGCCTCAGAAACCCAAGGAGGGGTTGCTATGAGTCGGGTCCGACTCAGTGGCATTTAACAACAACATACTTACTCAATTTGTATGCTGAGCAAGTAATCTGAGAAGCTGGACTATATGAAGAAGAACGTGGCATCAGGATTGGAAGAAGGCTCATTAACAACCTGCAATACGCAGATAATACAACTTTGTTTCCTGAAAGTGAGATGACTTAAGGCACTTACTGTTGAAGATTGAAGACTATAGTCTGCAGTATGGATTATGCCTCAATATAAAGAAAATAAAAATCCTCACAACTGGACCAATAAGCATCATCACAATAGAAGGAGAAAAGACTGAAGTTGTCAAAGACTTCATATTACTTGGTTCTACAATCAACACCAATGGAAACAGCAGTCAAGACATCAGAAGACATAGTACATTAGGCCAATTTGCTGCAAAAGACTTCTTTAAAGTGCTGAAGAGCAAAGATGTCTCCTTGAAGACTAAGATGCATCTAACCCAGGTCATGGTATTTTCATTTGCCTCATATGCATGTGACAGCAGGACAATGAATAGGGGAAGACAGAAGAAGAGTTGATGCTTTTGAGTTGTGGTGTTGGCAAAGAACACTGAGAGTACCATGGACTGCTAAACACACAAACAAATCTGCCCTGGAGAAAGTGCAGTCAGAATGCTCCTTGGAAGCAAGAATGGCCAGACTTTGTTTGACCTCCTCTGGTCATGTTTTGAGTAGAGACCATTCTCTGGAGAAGGATATCATGCTTCGTAAAGTAGAAGGTCAATGAAAAAGGGGAAGCCCCTCAACAAGATGGGTTGACATAGTGGCTGCAATGATGGGCTCAGGTATAGCAGGGATCATGAGGGTGGCACAGGACTGGACAGTGTTTCATTCTATTGTACATAAGTTTGCTATGAGTTTTATTCTATTGTACATAAGTTTGCTATGAGTTGGAGACAACTTGATGGCACCTAACAACAACATTATGTAAAGTGCTAAGTGGGTGAGAGCATAAAGGAGAAGTACATAGCCTATTAGTCTGAATGCCAGATAAAAAAGTGATCCCCTCATGGAACTTCCCTGTGCTAGGATTTTGATTCTTCTCCCTCCGTGTGATAAACTCTCTCTAGTGGGTTCTTGTTGCTTACTAGGAATTAGTTCCTTTTCCCACCAGCTTGACACACTTACTTTCACTCAAAATTGCCCTTGGGAAAAGTACAACTATAGCCTCCCTGGCTATAGCTTTTATGCCTATTGGAGGTTTTCCGTTTTCTCATGTAGAGTATAAGAAAATGTATTTCCAAGTATGAATTCGATAATTTTGATTGCATTCCATTCACTGTACTACTACTTCTATGCTCCCCCAACCCACCAGGTAGTGTCTTAATCAGAAAGCAGGCTTTATTTTTGTTTTTAGCACTTTACATGCTTCTGATCCCTTTTGCGTTTTCTGAATCTCCTCTAGTACTATCATGTCTTGGGGTTATCATCTTTACAGTGTTCAGCCTTGCACTGTGTCTGTTTGTACAGTCATGAACTCTTACTCTAGACTCAGGACCAAAGCAAACCCACTGCCATCAACTCATAGCAACTCTGTAGGACAGAGTAGGATTGCCCCATAGGGTTTCCAAGGCTTTTCATCTTTATGGAAGCAGGCTGCCATATCTTTCTCCCACAGAGTGGCTAGTGGGTTTGACCTTTGGGTTAGCAGCTGAGTGTGTAGCCACTGCACCACTAGGGCTCCTACAGTCAGGACACCTACATTCAAATACTCGCTATCATTTTCTGTTTCTGTAGCTTTGAACAAGTTATCAAATCTCTCTGTACCTCAGAGATACAGAAAGATACTAAAATAGGGATACTAAATAATAGGAAAGGACTTTTGTGAGGAATTTTGTAAAGCTTTTAAAATTGTACCTGGAACTTAAAATTCCATATCAGTATTAGTTATTGTTACTGTGTAAATGCCAGTAGAGTCATTGTCTCAGTCATTAGGTTAACTACTATATTAGTTATCTATTGCTGTATAACAAATTACCCCAAAGCTTTACAACATAAAACAAAAAACTTGTGATATCTCAAGTTTCTGTATGTCAGAAATATTAGCTGGGTCTTTTGCTTCAGAGTCTCTCACAAAGCTGCCATTAAGGTGTCTACCAGGCCTGTGGCCTCATCTGAACGCTTGAATTGAGAAAGATTTGCTTCCAAGTTCATTCAGTGTGGTTGTTGATAGGATTCCATTCCCCCTGAGGGAAGTAAGGGTTGTTGAAATGAGAAATCTTAGTTCCTTGCTGGCAGTTGGACATAGTCTGAGACCAGCCTCAGTTCCTAGCCCTGTGATCTTCTTCTGCTTGATTTATCAGAGCAAGCACAGAAGAAGAGCCAGAGAGAGAGTGTGCTGGTAAGATGGAAGTCACAAGCTAACTTAATTATAGAAATAACATCTCATGACTCTTACTATTTACTGTTTGCTAGAAGCAAATTTGACTTGATGGCATATAACAACAACAACAACAACAGAAGCAAATTACTAGGCCCAGTCCACATTCCCGGGGAGAGGATTGGACAAGGGCATGGTTAGCAAGAGGTAGAAATCACTGGTTGTCATGTCAAAAGCTGCCTACCCCACCACTATTGAAGTTAGGATTTCACTTGTGTGGACTACAATCAAGCATGCAGATACACAGACATATAAATTAAAATAATTTATTTCCTAGTATAAGCAGTGACTTGCTCCTGTCAAATAAAATGTGTTGTTGTTATGTGCCATCAAGTCGGACCTGACTCATAGCGACCCCTCCTTGGGTTTCCAAGGCAGTATCACTACGGAAGTAGATTGCCCCATCTTCCTTCCGAGGAGTGGCTGGTGGG